GTGGATCTAGATGAAGTAAAATAAGTAAAGGCCAGAATTGTTTGGTCCCAAATTGGCAACACCAGGCGTTAAGGAGTTAACATTTACTAGAATTGTATCAGCTAAAATGAAATTGCTCTCATCTAATCCTGTTCTCAACCTTCATCTCTCTTTCCAGACCAGGCCGATGTACTGCCGGATCAATCTGAATGTTCCCTTTCTCCAGATATTTTTTAATAATGAAGACACCAGACCAGGTTTTCTGCTGAGCAGAGAGTCTCTGGCGGTGCTGCTGGAGCTTCTCTGCCATGAAAGAAGACATGGATGGGGGGCCACAATAGAGACCTTGGTCTTCCTCTTCTGGCTAGCGAGTGGGGCATCCTACAGAGTGGTGGCTAGGGTGTTCGGGATGCCTCGCTCCACAGTTCACCGCATCGTCCACCGGGTTACTGAGGAGGTGGTGGCCATCCGCCACCGAGTCATCTGCCTCCCCAAAACTGCAGAAGACCTGGCAGCAGTAACCCAGGGGTTTGAAGGGCTGGCTGGACACAGAGCTTTTCTGAAAGCTGCTGGAGCGATCGACGGCTGCCATGTGAGGATCAAGCCTCCAAGCGGTCCTGATGGTCACTGCTATCGGAACAGGAAACTGTTCTCCTCTATCATTCTACAGGCAGTTTGGGACCATCAGGGCCGCTTCATCGACACGTACGTGGGCTGGCCGGGGTCGGTGCATGACTCCAGAGTGCTCCGGAACCGCCCACTGTACAGGCGGGCAATCTACCCTCCTCCGGGCCACTTCATCTTGGCAGATGGTGGGTACCCGTGTCTCCAACACCCACTCCCCCTCATCACTGCCTTCAAGCGGCCGGTACAAGGTGTGGGAGCCCAGCGCTTTAACAGCCATCATTCCAGGGCACGCTCCATCATAGAGCGTGCCTTTGGGATGATGAAGACGAGGTTCAGGGCCATCTTCCTCCAAGCGCTGGAGGTGCACCACACCTTTGTGCCTCAGGTATGTTACTAAATGAGAGAATTATTGATTATAGATAAATGATAAAAAGCTTTAAATTAATTTCTTCAAATATACTATAAAATGTTTTTTTCTTTTTTTTTCTACAGGTCATAACGGCATGTGCTGTCCTTCACAACATCTGCCTGGGAGCTGGTGACATCATGGCCCCAGAGGATGAAGAGCAGGACGACATGCCAGAGGATGAGGAGGGGAGAACGTGTTGGAGGCAGTCAGTGGTGCTCCATGGAGGGACCAGCTGTCTGCCGAGGTGTCTACCCTGGAGGAGGGTCTGCCCTGGAGGAGGGTCTGCCCTGGAGGAGGGTCTGCCCTGGAGGAGGGTCTACCCCTGGAGGAGGGTCTACCCTGGAGGAGGGTCTACCCCTGGAGGAGGGTCTACCCTGGAGGAGGGTCTGCCCTGGAGGAGGGTCTACCCTGGAGGAGGGTCTACCCCTGGAGGAGGGTCTACCCTGGAGGAGGGTCTGCCCTGGAGGAGGGTCTGCCCTGGAGGAGGGTCTACCCCTGGAGGAGGGTCTACCCTGGAGGAGGGTCTACCCCTGGAGGAGGGTCTACCCTGGAGGAGGGTCTGCCCTGGAGGAGGGTCTACCCTGGAGGAGGGTCTACCCCTGGAGGAGGGTCTACCCGACCACTTTTACATTTAGATGGCAAGTAGAATCACATTTTAGCTGTTCTCATTTCAGGGTTATGAAAACAGTTGCAGTAAAGTCATTATTTTCTGCGTCTTCTTAAACATTTTTAGTAACATGGCAGCCGTCGATTGGATCAGCCCTGCAAACCCTGATGGACGATGTGGTGAACAGTGGAGAGAGGCACCCCCACCCCCCCCCCCCCCAGATGATGTCCCACTCGCAGTCAGAATACTCCAAGGTCATCTGTGTGGCATCCCATCCAGTCCAGCAGCCCCACCAGGGACTCCTGCTCAGTCGAAATTGTATATATATGTTCTTTTACATCTTCTGTAAATAGTAGTTAAAATTGACTGTAAATAGTTTAAAATATTTTTAATAAATTGATGTTGTCACTGAGAAGTTGTTCTACGTTTACTTAAATTGTCAAGAAGTGATGAAACAGATGATGTAAAAAGGTTAAGACTTTAAGAACACACCGACAACAATAACTTTGATAAAGAATTTAATAATTTAATAACAGCAACACATAACTTGAACCTGTAAACACGGCAACAACCAAAAAAAAGAACACACCAACAAAAATTAACTTCTGTCCACCATCCTCTCCAATAAAGTAAATAGTCTGTCCATCCTCTCTCTTTCTCTTCTCTCCTCCGCCTCTCTCTGCCATCTCATCTCCTCCCTGATCAAATCAAGCAACTCGTCACTCCTCCTTCTTCTCTTCCTCCTTTCCCTCCTCTCTCCTGGCCTCTCATTCTCACTCTCTTCCTCGTCATCGCCCTGATGCTGCTCAGCCTCTGCAGCACCTGGCCCTGCTGTGTCCTCAGGGATGGAGGCAATTAGGACAGGTGGGGCAACAGAGGGCCTCTGTCCTAATACCTCATCCATGAGGACAAACCAGGGCCAGGTGGCAGCAGTAGGCTTCCCACTGACCCGCTGCCCTGTCCCTGGATCTTTGCATTCCTAAAGTAGAGGAAAACTATTTTTGTCAACAGATGCAATTTTATGTAGTGTTTCTTTAAAGCTAGAAAAAAGGAGTGTTTCATGATTTGGATAGATTAATGACATTCTACAGAAAAAGAGACGACTTTGGAATAATAACTTTGAGATGACTTTTTTCAAGCTAATTCAAAGTGTAAATGAACCTGAATATAATATATGTAAGATGTCATTTCCCTACACATTTACACACACAACTATCTATCTATCTATCTATCTATCTATCTATCTATCTATCTATCTATCTATCTATCTATCTATCTATCTATCTATCTATCTATCTATCTATCTATATATATATCTATATATATATATATATATATATATATATATATATATATATATATATATATATATATATATATATATATATATATATATATATATATATATGTGTATGTGTGTGTGTGTGTGTGTGTGTGTATTTCATTACATTATCCAAACCTGAACATACTTTGTATTTTTTTTTAGGTTGTCCCACTTTTTTTTGGCCTGTTGTGGCTCAACTTTTCCCTCCAAGGCCCATTTTCTGCAGGATTGTTCTAAACAAGAGAAATGAGAAGAGATAAACACACTAGGATCACTTCTATCACAAATATAAGATTGATAAAAAGTGGCATCTGGGCATCATATCATGTGATCAAAAGATTATATTTGTACGTTGGTGTTTGAACAGGACTTCTTTTATCTTGTGTGACTTTTACATAGAAATGCAACATGTATATGGAATTATGCCTCAACTCTTACCTCCAACCAACTGCTGCAGTATTTTTGGCGCCGGTGAAAAGGTGGTCGTTTTTCCCACGGAGTTTGATCAACTCCTCTGTCTGCTCCCTGGAACAAAATGACATGTAAAGCGTATTTCTGTTAAGTCAACAGGCAAAATGACTGTTCTGTATAATTACACCGGCATTGTTCTTCAAGTGAATTATACTTTAAACCGTATTATACTGTACTGTAAAATAACTATACATTATTGAGTATTAAAACAAAATGTTTACAGTATTAACAGCCCAGTACAGCTGGACTCATGTTATTTCTTCAGCTGCATTAAGCTTTGACAGTTCAAATCCTGTGTAATAAACTGTATGAGAATAAATAATTCCGATTAGTGAGGGCTATCAGCAAAGTTACAAGATGTAGGTTAATAATTGTGACATTTTTATGAAGGCTTCAATTGTTGTTGAGCGTCTCGTATCAACAGGTTAGCTTTAAGCTTTAGCTTTAGCTGGTCTACACATCCCGGTGGCTCCGTTACCGTCATGTATTTTAATAGATGTTCAGTAAAATAAAACAAAAATAATACTCACATTTAAAAGTGTACTCCATCTTACTACTGCCGGCGCTGCTACTGCTTTCCATTTTTTCCGCCTTTTCTTTCTTCTTTCTTCTTCCTTCTTCTTCCTTCTTCTTCCTTCTTCTTCCTTCTTCTTCCTTCTTCTTCCTTCTTCTTCTTCTTCTTCCTCTTCTTCTTCTTCTTCTTCCTCTTCTTCTTCTTGTTCTTCCTCCTCTTCTTCTTCTTCCTCTTCGTGTGGGAGGAGTGTGAGTGGAGAAGCGGAAGAGAGAGCGTGAGGAAACTGTTTGAGTGGTTTTTCTTACTTTTTTCTATCCTTTTTTCACTGGGTGTATGTAAGTATTGTGCATTTAATTGTGTTTTTTGTTGTTTAATAGTTGTTGGTGGTTTTTGTGGGTTGTGGGGCCGTCGGGTTCTGCCCGGCGGCAGTCGGCGTCTCTGCACGCCATGGTGGTGGTGGGGAGTGCGGGAGGTTTCTCCACGCTGACACGGAAGAACGGCATCAAGGTGGGTGCCGGTTCTCCGTGCAGCGTGGAGGAAGTGTGTCTGGCTGTGGGGGAGGTTGTTGGACATGGGTCCATTAAGTCGGCAGCTCGCATGAGTGGAGCTGTCGTTCCGTTTGTGGAGAAAGTGGAGCAGGCTCAGCGGCTGGTGGAAGCAGGCATCTCTGTCAATGGGTTGTTTCTGCAAGTTTCCCCATTGACACTGCCTGCAACCAGAGTCACTCTGTCAAACGTCCCTCCGTTCATCAGTGACGAGTTCCTGATAAAAGAACTGTCTCGGCACGGTAAGGTGGTTTCACCCATTAAAAAGGTGATGTCGGGGTGTAAATCACCTCTGTTAAAACATGTTGTCTCCCATAGGAGACAACTGTTCATGATATTGAACAAACGAGATGAGGAACTCAATCTCCGCTTTCATGTTAGATTGGATGGATTTGACTACATGCTTTTTGCAACCTCCTCTAACATGAAGTGCTTTGGTTGTGGACAGGAGGGACACGTAATTAAAGTGTGCCCTGATGGGGCCGGGCGGAGGCCCGCTGCTGCTGAGCAGATGGGGCCTCCGCCTAGTGTGGCGGCTGCTGCTGCGGCGGGGGGGCCCGCTGCTGCTGCGGTGGAGGAGCCCGCCGCTGCGGCGGTGGAGGAGCCCGCCGCTGCTGCGGTGGAGGAGCCCGCCGCTGCTGCGGTGGAGGAGCCCGCCGCTGCTGCGGTGGAGGAGCCCGCCGCTGCTGCGGTGGAGGAGCCCGCCGCTGCTGCGGTGGAGGAGCCCGCCGCTGCGGCGGTGGAGGAGCCCGCCGCTGCTGCGGTGGAGGAGCCCGCCGCTGCTGCGGTGGAGGAGCCCGCCGCTGCTGCGGTGGAGGAGCCCGCCGCTGCGGCGGTGGAGGAGCCCGCCGCTGCTGCGGTGGAGGAGCCCGCTGCTGCGGTGGTGGAGGAGCCCGCCCCTTCTGCGGTGGAAGAGCCCGCCGCTGCTGCGGTGGAGGAGCCCGCCGCTGCGGCGGTGGAGGAGCCCGCCGCTGCGGCGGTGGAGGAGCCCGCCGCTGCTGCGGTGGAGGAGCCCGCCGCTGCTGCGGTGGAGGAGCCCGCCGCTGCGGCGGTGGAGGAGCCCGCCCCTTCTGCGGTGGAGGAGCCCGCCGCTGCTGCGGTGGAGGAGCCCGCCGCTGCGGCGGTGGAGGAGCCCGCCGCTGCTGCGGTGGAGGAGCCCGCCGCTGCTGCGGTGGAGGAGCCCGCCGCTGCGGCGGTGGAGGAGCCCGCCGCTGCTGCGGTGGAGGAGCCCGCCGCTGCGGCGGTGGAGGAGCCCGCCGCTGCTGCGGTGGAGGAGCCCGCCGCTGCTGCGGTGGAGGAGCCCGCTGCTGCTGCTGCTGCTGCTGCTGGGGTTGCCGCGGTGGTGTCGGAGGGACGTGCGGCGGCTGCGGAGGAGCCAATGGTGGAGGAGCCTGCTCCAGGTATTGTTGAGGCGTCAGTTATTAGGACAATAAAATCTGTAAAGATGATTGTGTGTGTGAGGAAGGATGGGAGCACGGTGCTGAGTGGTGATGGGGTGAATGGTGGTGAGGGTGAGAGCGCAGGTGGGGAGAGAGACGGTGTGCAGGGAGAGCAGGAGGAGGTGAAGGGCGATGAGGGCTATTTGGCGTGTGGAGTTCAGGGAGAGAAAGGAGAGGGGGAGGTTAGAGGACAGGTTGAAGGTTCAACTGAAAACAGCGTGGAGTTGTTTTGTGGAGGTGGTGTGGAGGGAGAGAGGGGTGAAGCAGAGGAGGTGATGGAGCTGGAGGCTTCTGCGCCTAAAAGAAAAAGTAAAAGGAAGAATGTGGTGGCTGCTGCACAAGCCAGCAAGCTGGCCAGCAAACAGGCCAGCCAGCAGGCTGCAGAGAAAGACGAAGAGTCAGACAGCAGTGATGCTGAGAGCTGGGTCTCTGACACCAGTGAGCTCTCTGTGTCACAGTCCAGCGATAAGGAGCCTTTATACCCCGCAGAATCTTTTAGGGACTTTTTAGTGAATACAAAAGGTTTTAAGGGATTAAAAATAGAGGCATATTTTCCTAATGTAAGATTATTTTATTCATCCGCAAGACATCACATCAGCAACAAGGGGTCATTAGGTTTAACTGATAGACAAATCTTTAGATTAAGGAAAAAAATGTCCAAAGTCAGAAAACAGCTTTAATGATGCACAACAGCTTTTTATTACTTTTTATAGTTTTTTGGTGTGTTGGTTTTACCTTCTTACCCATTATGGATTCTTTTAAAATAGCATCTTTGAATCTTAACGGGGCGAGGGAGGCTGAAAAACGTGCTTTAATTTATCAAACTTTAAAACAAAAAAGAATCGATGTTGTGTTTTTACAAGAAACACATAGTGATATTTTAACTGAAGCAGACTGGAGTAGAGAGTGGAGGGGGGAGGTCATCTTGAGCCACGGCACCTCTCAGAGTGCTGGGGTGGGGATTCTTTTCTCCAGAACCTTCACCCCAACTTCTACAGAAGTTGAGCACGTCGTTCAGGGGAGGTGTCTTTTAGTCAAAGCAAAGTTTGATCTTTTTAGAGCATCGTTTTTATCAATATTTATGCACCTATTACCAATGCAGAGAAAAAGCATTTTTTTGAAAAAATTGGGGAAAGGTTGGGTGATTGTGGGTGTGATGATTATGTTTTTTTAGGCGGGGATTTTAACTGTACCGAAAATGAGCTTTTAGACCGCAATCATCCAGCGGCCCAACACGCTCTGCGGCAGCTGGTCTTGTCTCACGGCCTGGTGGATGTATGGAGGAGGATGCACGCTGGCTCCAGGCAGTACACATGGTCCCACATCAATGAAAACAGAATCTCTTTAGCTCGGCTTGATCGTATTTATTGTTTTAAACACCATTTTAACGTGTTTAAGGCATGCCAAATTTTACCGGTGGCTTTTACGGATCACTCGTTGCTTTTAGGTAGTGTTTTTATTAGAAACATTTTACCGAGAAGCGCCTACTGGCATTTTAACCCTGCTTTAACTCACGATCGAGGTTTTAAGGAGACTTTAAGCTATTTTTGGACTGGTTTTAGAAAGAGAAAGTCAGATTTGACCTCTCTTAGACAGTGGTGGGACTATGGGAAAGTTCAGATAAAACTGCTGAGTCAACAGCATACTCTCAACGTCACTCGTGACATTACCAGATCTATCAGAGATCTGGAGATGAACATCGTGGACTTAGAGCAACTCAGCGGATCCACAGGAAATCGAGAGCACATTGAAGCTCTCAAAACTAAACGGCTAGCGTTAGCCAACCTGCTGGAGTCAAAAGTCCAAGGCGCATTGGTCCGATCTCGGGTCCAGAACATCACAGAGATGGATGCTCCCTCTAGCTTTTTTTTCAGCCTGGAGAGGAAGCACGGTCAGAGGAAGCTGATCCACTCTTTGCTGTCGGACACGGGGCAACAACTGAGCGAACCGGGTCAGATCAGGGAGAGGGCTGTGGGTTTTTACCGTTCTCTGTTCCGGAGCGAATACAAAGAGAACGAGGATCTGTTCCGGGAGTTCTGCACAGAACTACCCCAGGTCTCTGAGGAGACCAACACCGAGCTGGAGCGTCCCCTGGAGCTCCAGGAACTCCACACAGCCCTCCTCGGCATGCAGGGCCAGAGGTCCCCTGGCATTGATGGACTCACCGTCGAGTTCTTCAAGGCCTATTGGGACCTTCTGGGAAAAGACCTGCTAGACGTCTGCAGGGAGAGTCTGGTCGCCGGTTCGCTCCCCTTGTCTTGCCGCAGGCGGTCATCACCCTGCTCCCCAAAAAGGGTAACCTGCAAGACGTCAAGAACTGGCGCCCTGTGTCCCTCCTCTGTACCGATTACAAGATCCTCTCCAAGGCTCTGGCCGTGAGGCTGGGAAAAGCTATGGAGCAGGTCATCCACCGAGATCAGACCTACTGCGTCCCCGGCAGGTCCATGGTAGACAACGTCTACCTGATTCGGGATGTTTTGGAGGTCTCCGGTTCATTGGGTTTACAAGTCGGCTTGATTTCATTAGATCAAGAAAAGGCGTTTGACTGCGTTGAGCACGGCTTCCTCTGGAAAACCATGAGGGGGTTTGGGTTCAGCGAGGGTCTCATCGCCAAGATCCAGGTACTGTACAGTGGCATAGAGAGTGTGCTGAAGATCAACGGTAGCCTGTGCGCTCCTTTTAGGATGTGTAGAGGCGTCCGACAGGGCTGCGCGCTCTCGGGGATGCTCTACGCGCTCTCCCTGGAACCCCTCCTTCAGAAAATACTTTCGAGTGTTTACGGTCTGGTTTTACCCGGTTTTACTAATCATATGGTTTTATCTGCCTACGCTGACGACGTTGTTGTTTTTATAAAGGATCAACGGGACGTCAGTCTTTTAACCGAGGTAACTGAAAAGTTTTCAGTCTTGTCCGCCGCGAGGGTGAACTGGGCAAAGAGCGAAGCCCTGGCCGTCGGAGAGTGGTCCGTCAGGCTCCCAGTTCTCCCTCAAGGTCTGGTGTGGAAGAGGGACGGTTTTAAGTACCTTGGTGTGTTTTTAGGCAGTGAAGCTTTTTTAAAGAAAAACTGTGAGGAAGTGGAAGGAAAAATAAAAACCAGGTTGGAAAAATGGAAGTGGTTGCACTCCCAGATGTCCTATAGGGGCAGAGTGCTGGTTTTAAATAATCTTATAGCTTCACAGCTGTGGCACAAACTCTCTGTTTTAGACCCACCCTCTGACCTTCTTGTAAAAATACAGTCAGAGATGGTTAATTTTTTCTGGAGCGGTCGACATTGGGTGCCACAGTCTGTTTTGTTTTTACCAAGAGAGGAGGGGGGCCAGGGCCTTGTCCACCTGGCCGCCAGAACAGCCACTTTTCGTTTACAGTTCCTTCAGAAGTTCCTTACAGAAAACCCCGTGTGGAGAGGCGTGGCCAGCTGCATTCTCAGACGTGTAAACTCTCTGGGGCTGGATGCTGCTCTGTTTTTAACAGACTTAAGTCTCTTAAAGATAAAAGGGTTACCTCAATTTTATCAAAGTGTTTTTAAGTCATGTGCATTTTTTAAATTGCACAGGTCCGAAACGTATAACTCTCTGCATTGGCTTTTAGAAGAACCGCTGGTGTGTGGAGCGAGGCTGGACGTCCACGACAGCTCCGTGCCTGGCCTTCCCGAGACGCTGTCCAGGTCGGGAGCGGTGACGCTGAGGCATCTGGTGCGGGTCGCCGGACCGGATTTCTCGGGCATCGAGGAGGTCCGCTCGCTGCTGGAGGTCCGGTCCGCCAGATTGGTGCGGCGCTTTCTGGAGCGCCTGAAAGAGCGGATGACTGCTGGGGAGAGACGGCTCCTGCAGCTGCACGCCACCGGACAGCGCCCGCCTGACACGAGCGACCCGTTCCCGGACATATACATGGATCCAGACTTTGAGGTGGACAGCGGACCCCTACTAAAAAATCAGAAGATGGATCTGTGCAAAACGGACCCAAAAACAATATATAAAACTTGCACTAAAGTCCTAAACAGGAGAACTCTCCATCACAGGGCAACAAATGTCTGGGCAGACAGATTTGGAGGACAAAAACCTCAGTGGAGGACTTTGTACAAGCCTCCCATCAAGAAACGGACTGGTGACCTTCAATGGAGAATACTTCATGGCGCCATTGCTACAAACGCATTTTTATCTGTCATCAGTCCTGAGGTTTTAAACAAATGTCCTTTTTGCAGTTTGCCCGAGAGTGTGTTTCACGTTTTTATGGATTGTGTATGACTGACAGGTTTTTTCAATTTTTTAATGAATGTTTCTAGCCTTTTTAGTGTGGTTTTTACCCATTCCGTTTTTATCAATGGTGTACATTATAACCGAGCCACTGCCTTCAAATCCAGAATTTTAAATTATTTAATCTCTGAAGCCAAAATGGCCATTTACCTGACACGAAGAGACAAACTGCAGGAAGGACCTCAGCTTGATGCGGTGGCTGTGTGGAAGTGTAACATCAAAGCCAGGTTGAGGCTGGAGTTCTGCTTCCACAGAGCCACTGGGGATTTGAAGGGTTTTATACAATTGTGGGGTTTTAACAATGTGTTGTGCACCATTTCTGAGTCCGGAGAGCTGAAATATAACAAGCTGCTTTTATAATGATGTCCTGATGACCTGAGTTTTTTTTAACTGTTTGTTGATAATTCATTGTTAAATAAATGTTTTGTTAAAAAAAAAAAAAAAAAAATCTTCTTCTTCTTCTTCTACTACTAAAAAAAAAAAAAATTTTGCCAAATGGGACGGCCTCCGCGCAGCGTTGTGACGTCACCGGCCTCAAAATGCGTCCTACCAAGTACGCAGCCTGCGAATTGAGACGCAGCCCATGGCTGCCGGAAGCGCTGCTGCTGATGATTGACGGGGCGCGGTGCGTTCTGTGGC